AACCTCGGACGACGGTACACACTAAGCACTAGAGGGGATTTTTGTGTCCCCTCCAATACAGTGTCCATGTTCAGTTGTCCTACCACCTCTCTTCTCTTAGTCTTTACGTATAATTTAACTTAAACTGGAAAAAAATGATTTGCAGTGATTTAAGTTTTTCATCTTTTCCAGCTTATCAACTTAATTGAAATAAGTATAAGCAGATATATCTTATTCAAAGCTAACCTTAGTAAGATAAGATTAATTCTCATATACTTGTGTATCGCAGAAATACGTTACGCGATGAGTAGATTATTTTTTTTCAGTTTTATGATAAAAATATTTAAAGTTCTGTTTAGCCAAGTTGTCGGACAATGAAATTTTCTGCGCCACTGATACAGGCATGTATATGATGCAGGTATATATAACGCTGGTATATATGACGAAGGTATATATGATGAAGGTATATATGATGAAGGTATATATGACGAAGGTACACATGATGCAGGTACACATGACGCAGGTACACACATGACGCAGGTACACATGACGCAGGTACACATGACGCAGGTACACACATGACGCAGGTACACATGACGCAGGTACACATGACGCAGGTACACACATGACGCAGGTACACACATGACGCAGGTACACACATGACGCAGGTACACACATGACGCAGGTACACACATGACGCAGGTACACATGACGCAGGTACACATGACGCAGGTACACATGACGCAGGTACACATGACGCAGGTACACATGACGCAGGTACACATGACGCAGGTACACATGACGCAGGTACACATGACGCAGATACACATGACGCAGGTACACATGACGCAGGTACACATGACGCAGGTACACATGACACAGATACACACGTCACAGGCACACACGACACAGGTACACATGACGCAGGTACACATGACGCAGGTACACATGACGCATGTACACATGACGCAGGTACACATGACACAGGTACACATGTCACAGGCACACATGACACAGGTACACATGACACAGGTACACACGTCACAGGTACACACGTCACAGGTACACACGTCACAGGTACACATGACACAGGTACACATGACACAGGTACACATGACACAGGTACACATGACACAGGTACACATGACACAGGTACACATGACACAGGTACACATGACACAGGTACACATGACACAGGTACACATGACACAGGTACCACACAAGACATCTACTCCACTTGACACAACCAAAGCTCTGATGAATTACTTGACGTCACCCGCATGTATACGAGTCTAAGGCTTCACGGAGTAATATTAATTTCTTTTCGCGAAGATCATTTATCTGCACAAAGCTGTTTTGATCTGCATGTCAGAATGTGAAGCACATCGAATAACATTTTTTTTCAGGAACATTTAAATGCCTGTCAGATCCACTTTTATATTGATAGTGTCGTCGTTTGGATCATCGGGGTTCACTATCACCGGCCGGATCATCGGGGTTCACTGTCTTCGTTCGGATCATCGGGGTTCACTGTCGTCGTTCGGATCATCGGGGTTCACTATCACCGGCCGGATCATCGTGGTTCACTATCACCGTCCGGATCATCGGGGTTCACTATCACCGGCCGGATCATCGGGGTTCACTATCACCGGCCGGATCATCGGGGTTCACTATCACCGGCCGGATCATCGGGGTTCACTATCACCGTCCGGATGATCGGGGTTCACTATCACCGGCCGGATCATCGGGGTTCACTATCACCGGCCGGATCATCGGGGTTCACTATCACCGTCCGGATCATCGGGGTTCACTATCACCGTCCGGATCATCGGGGTTCACTATCACCGTCCGGATCATCGGGGTTCACTATCACCGGCCGGATCATCGGGGGTTCACTATCACCGTCCGGATCATCGGGGTTCACTATCACCGGCCTGATCATCGGGGGTTCACTATCACCGGCCGGATCATCGGGGTTCACTATCACCGGCCTGATCATCGGGGGTTCACTATCACCGGCCGGATCATCGGGGTTCACTATCACCGTCCGGATCATTGGGTTCACTATCACCGTCCGGATCATCGGGGTTCACTATCACCGTCCAGATCATCGGGGTTCACTATCACCGTCCAGATCATCGGGGTTCACTATCACCGTCCAGATCATCGGGGTTCACTATCACCGGCCGGATCATCGGGGTTCACTATCACCGTCGGGATCATCGGGGGTTCACTATCACCGTCCAGATCATCGGGGGTTCACTATCACCGGCCGGATCATCGGGGTTCACTATCACCGGCCTGATCATCGGGGGTTCACTATCACCGTCCAGATCATCGGGGGTTCACTATCACCGGCCGGATCATCGGGGTTCACTATCACCGTCGGGATCATCGGGGGTTCACTATCACCGTCCAGATCATCGGGGGTTCACTATCACCGGCCGGATCATCGGGGTTCACTATCACCGTCGGGATCATCGGGGGTTCACTATCACCGTCCAGATCATCGGGGGTTCACTATCACCGGCCGGATCATCGGGGTTCACTATCACCGTCGGGATCATCGGGGTTCACTATCACCGTCCGGATCATCGGGGTTCACTATCACCGGCCGGATCATCGGGGGTTCACTATCACCGTCCAGATCATCGGGGGTTCACTATCACCGGCCGGATCATCGGGGTTCACTATCACCGTCGGGATCATCGGGGGTTCACTATCACCGTCCAGATCATCGGGGTTCACTATCACCGTCCGGATCATCGGGGTTCACTATCACCGTCGGGATCATCGGGGGTTCACTATCACCGTCCAGATCATCGGGGGTTCACTATCACCGGCCGGATCATCGGGGTTCACTATCACCGTCGGGATCATCGGGGTTCACTATCACCGTCCGGATCATCGGGGTTCACTATCACCGTCCGGATCATCGGTGTTCACTATCACCGTCGGGATCATCGGGGTTCACTATCACCGTCCAGATTATCGGGGTTCACTATCACCGGCCAGATCATCGGGGTTCACTATCACCGTCCGGATAATCGGGGTTCACTATCACCGGCCGGATCATCGGGGTTCACTATCACCGTCCAGATCATCGGGGTTCACTATCACCGTCCAGATCATCGGGGTTCACTATCACCGTCCGGATCATCGGGGTTCACTATCACCGTCGGGATCATCGGGGCTCCGCTCCTCCTCCCTGACCCACCTCCCTGACCCACCTCCCTGACCCACCCACCTCACCCACCTCCCTCATCCATCTACCTCACCCACCTCCCTCACCCACCTCCCTCATCCACCTCCCTCACCCACCCACCTCACCCACCTCATCCACCCACCTCACCCACCCACCTCACCCACCTCCCTCATCCATCTACCTCACCCACCTCCCTCACCCACCTCCCTCATCCACCTCCCTCATCCATCTACCTCATCCACCTACCTCATCCACCTCAGGTACCTCGCGCACATACCTGCAAATAACCAAAAATATACATTAGTAAAAATAGTAATGTTTACAATGATATGGATGACAACAGTGATGATATTATTGTAATTATTGCTGTTGCTGTTGCTGTTGGTTACACAGAGTACTCTGTATCAGGAGGATGGCTTGATATCTACCTCACTCATTCATACTCTTCAACATATATTTCTCCCTAACACGATTCTGCCTATCTCTCCCTGCCTATCCCTCCCTGCCTATCCCTCCCTGCCTATCCCTCCCTGCCTATCCCTCCCTGCCTATCTCTCCCTGCCTATCTCTCCCTGCCTATCCCTCCCTGCCTATCCCTCCCTGCCTATCCCTCCCTGCCTATCCCTCCCTGCCTATCCCTCCCTGCCTATCTCTCCCTGCCTATCCCTCCCTGCCTATCCCTCCCTGCCTATCCCTCCCTGCCTATCCCTCCCTGCCTATCCCTCCCTGCCTATCTCTCCCTTCCTATCCCTCATTTCCTATCCCTCCCTGCCTATCCCTCCCTGCCTATCCCTCCCTGCCTATCCCTCCCTGCCCATCCCTCCCTGCCTATCCCTCCCTGCCTATCCCTCCCTGCCTATCCCTCCCTTCTCTTTCCTTCACTTCCCTCCAAGTTCCTTACTCTCTCTCTCTCTCTCTCTCTCTCTCTCTCTCTCTCTCTCTCTCTCCCTTCCACTTCTTTCTCTCCCTTCTTTCTTCTTCCTACAAGATCCTCCGCGTCTCATTACGTATTCGAAGCCTTACAAATGGAAACGAACGAGTTGTGGCGAATTCTTTTTTCTGCATGTGGCTGCTGATTGGTGGAGCGGGGCCTGTGGTATTGGTGGGGGGAGGGGGTAGAGGAGGGGCAGGGGGCACAGGTGAGGGGAGGGGGTAGAGGAGGGGCAGGTGGTACAGGTGGGGGGGAGGGGGTAGAGTAGGGGCAGGGGCACAGGTGGGGGGAGGGGGTAGAGGAGGGGCAGGGGGCACTGGGGGGGAGGGGGGAGGTATGGGAATAGTAAAGGATGAGAGGGGAAAAGAAAGGGAGGGGGGGGGAAATAAGGGGAAAGTGGGTGGGGATAGCAAAAGGAGGGTAAAGCTGGAGTAAGTTTAGTGGAATGACAGGGAAAAGACGGGACGGGGCGGGGGAAGGCGGGACGGGGCAGGGGAAGGCGGGACGGGGCGGGGGAAGGCGGGACGGGGCAGGGGAAGGCGGGACGGGGCGGGGGAAGGCGGGACGGGGCGGGGGAAGGCGGGACGGGGCGGGGGAAGGCGGGACGGGGGGGGGGGGGAAGGCGGGACGGGGCGGGGGAAGGCGGGACGGGGCGGGGGAAGGCGGGATGGGGCGGGGGAAGGCGGGACGGGGCGGGGGAAGGCGGGACGGGGCGGGGGAAGGCGGGACGGGGCGGGGGAAGGCGGGACGGGGCGGGGGAAGGCGGGACGGGGCGGGGGAAGGCGGGGCGGGGCGGGGGAAGGCGGGGCGGGGCGGGGGAAGGCGGGGCGGGGCGGGGGAAGGCGGGGCGGGCAAGGAGGGACGGGGCGGGCAAGGCGGTTCGAG